AGTGAAATTGTCTAGAAAATAATTAAAGAAAAAATGCATAGTTAATGTTCAAGAAGGATAGAAAAGAGACTCTCAGTCCAACCAAGGATGCAGAAGGAAAATGGCTTTGTAAAACTGCTAAACATGAGAGCTATAGCTCGTATTGCTTGTTGGTGCCACCAGTATCTCAGCCTTCATTTATGCTTTAGAGGAGCCGCTGCAGCCCAAGGCTTAGTGTAGCCTACTATCTGTGCAGAGTCAAACTCAGCGGGGATCCTGGAGCATGGAATGCAGTTTATCATCGCTCTGTCCTGCTGACTACAGCAGGATGCTTTTTTACATTATCAGGCAGCTAGGTTAATTTATTTTTATATTCTTTTTTACTGTAAAGGCCTCCAGTGGGCAGCTAAACATTAGTGGTCTCTCGTTATAGCTCATGTTTACCATTTATAAAATTAGTACTAAAAATAGGAAATTGAAGTAAGAAATCATTCTTGCTTGCTTGATAATTGTGTCTGTTATCTACACTACATTAGAACTCTTCAGGTTTTTATATTTAAGGATGTTTATATGTCTTATTTAAAGCTGTTATTTATATGGATGGGTATATATTCATAAATATATGTTTATATAAGCTCTAAGTCTATATGCCCACATGCTTATTAATTCTCTGAACATTTTTGAATTGTCTGTAGTACTCAGATTACACTCAAATCTGATTGTATGCCACTCGAACTGAAACAAAAACCCATCTCAGAATTTGCACTGAGATAATTGTTGTTTACATACATTATGTCAATGTAATATAACATTTCATCTGCCTTATTTTCTATCATTCATTAGTCTCCAAACCAGAAACAATATATGAATGAAGCAGTGTCTAGAAATGCTATTTTTAATTGGCTAAAGAGGTTGCTTGATCTCTGTTAGCTGGTTACTGTTGTTGGGGAGACTCTCCATGAGGGGTGGCGCATTGTTTAAACATAGTGGGACAATAGTCTCATGTCATCTATAGGATATGGAGACACCAGAGTTTTGTGTTTCTTTTGCTTTATTACTATACATGTGAGGCACAATCGACAAAGACTTCCTGAGGATGAATGTTGTCAGTATATGAAACACTGAATAACTGCTTTTTGTATTGCTGAATGGTCCTCTTTCTTTCAGTTTTAAAAGGGAAAATACAGAAAAAAATAGCTCTGGGGAATGGAGTCTTGTATGCAGGAATTTTTTTAACAGAGGGACTTTGGGCTGCATTGAGATCTTACACTAATTTTATACGAGTTTGACTTCATTGACGTAATCTGAATGATTCCTGGTTTACAATACAGTGAGAGAGAGACTGGGCAAATTAATAGGAGCCTGAATTCCATGTTACTTCCAAGCTCAGTCACCTGGGTCCTGAATACTGCCAGTGTTGGGATTGATTTTTTTCTCTATTTTCACTTTCGCTCATCATGACCTCAAAACCCAAGAGAGCCTGATTTAATTCTAGCCTCTCTTTCTTATTCCAGTCCCAAGGCCTATGTGGACAGTAATAGGTGTTTGTGTAGTACAGGCAACTGTTCCCAAAATAGCCAGCATTAAAAAACTGTCTAATGGGTGTACTGTCAGCAAGAGAGCAACAGAGTCTGAAAACCTGGACAAGTTTTACCATGTTTGAGTTTGTTCTATGTACGTGTAGTTGCTGTTAAAGAGCTTTATTAGCATTTATTAATTTTAGTTTTATTGATTTATTAAAATCATTTTAGTTTAAAGGTAAATGAAAGGAGAATTTGTCAGACAAGTTTTTTCACTACTCACTTATGTTGCGAGTCATTCATCAGTGCCAATAGGCTGGTGTCTTGGGTGCCAGCTGTGGGCACAACAAATGAATGAGAAGCAATAGTGTTAATGTTTGTCCCATGTGCAAAAACTCATGCCGCATTTTCATATTCCCTTTATCAGACTCTAAGGGTGGGATTCAACTGACGTAAATTTAGTCTTCTAAAGATACTTGACATCCTATCTAAGCTACTTGTCCAGCTTCCATCTGCCCTCCACATACTGGAGCAAGTTATGTCCTCCATTTTGACCTTTTAGATGAGACTCTTAACTTCGCTCTATTGACTAGAAAGAAAAAGCCTGTACAATTAGTTTAGACTAGATGCTTACTTTTTATACAGCTGAAGGTAACCATGGTAAATCTCCCTCTAATTTCTTCTACTTCTCCCCCTCAAGGCAGTGTTTTCAGCTCCACACACTGCGTAGCTGGAAAGTAACCATGATTTGTTGCTCAGGGTTGTTCTGCACCAACTCACCCAGACACTGGCATTTTTTGGCATAGATCTCACACCACAGTGCTGAGATCAAATGCCATGGCTTCTGCAAACATTTATGCAGGATCTTCAGCATCAAATCAGTACTGCTGTGGCTGGAGACAGTGGGCACAAGCTGAACGAGTTACTTAACAGCAAGCAGAACTAGTTACATACTTAAGCAGGTGCATAAACTTTGGCAAGATCAAGGCTTAAATAATAATCACCTCGAGGCAAGAAAATGTTCTTCTTTTGTTTTCTTTGCAACACAAAACTTGCTATTGTCACTTAATTAACTTGGTTTTCAAACTGATGAATGATGAAGTAATTTTGGAAGCGTTGCAATCATGGCATCACATAAAACACCTCAGTGCTCTCCTGAGAGAGGTGAGAAGGTTATGGGCTGGCTGTTCTGCTAAATGAGGCTACTCAGTGATCACAGCATGTGCTCCAGAGTCTGCAATGTCAGGTCGCTGGAGCACAGCGTGACTGCTATTAAACTATATGGGCAGAGTCCTACAATGCTACTTAGAGTGGTATGAGCTCTGAAAACCTTTCATATTTCCAGAAGGATCCTTATATAGAACACCAAAGATACATGAGGGATCTGATTGTTAAAGGCTTGTTGAATTGCTTGTTGATTCTCCCCCTTCTACTCTGCTCTCATGAGCCCTCACTTGGACCACTGTGTGCAGTTCTGATGTCCTCAACATAAATAGGACATGGAACTGTTGGAACAAGTCCAGAGGAGGGCCACGAGGATGATCAGGGGACTGGAGCACCTGCTGTATGAAGATAGGCTGAGAAAGTTGGGGCTGTTCAGCCTGGAGAAGAGAAGGCTGCGCGGAGACATAGCAGCCTTCCAGTATCTGAAAGGGGCCTACAAAGATGCTGGAGGGGGACTCTTCATCAGGGACTGTAGTGATAGGACAAGGGTTAATGGGTTAAAACTTAAACAGGGGAGATTTAGGTTGGATATAAGGAAGAAGTTCTTTACCATGAGGGTGGTGAGGCATGGGAATGGGTTGCCCAAAGAAGTGGCAAATGCTCCATCCCTCAGGTGTTTGAGACCAGTTTGGACAAGGACTTGAGAAACCTTGTCTAGTATAAGATGTCCCTGCCTATGGCAGAGGGGGTTGGAACTAGGTGATCTTAAGGTCCTTTCAAACACTAACCATTCTATGATTCTGTGATTCTATGGAAAAGAACAAGAAGAGCATGCGAAAACTTGGAGAAAACACATCTAGATCTCTTTCTTCATAGCTTTAATATGGCATGTAAAATGACTGCTCATTCTAGATTACTGTTGCAGATTTCTCTGTAGGTGCAGCAAGAGGTAGTTCTTAAATAGAGACTGGTTACACAGAATATTAGAGGGTATTTTCAAGAATATTAAAAATGCCACCAAACAAAGATCTTGTTCACTTTCCCTGCCCTTTCTGTGACAAATTACTGCAGTAAAAGTGAACTCCTGCTTTTCCTTATTTATGAAACACCTCTTCCCTTTTGTATGAAAAACTGATTTTCCTGTGCTTTAGAAAGTGTATAAGTGGCAGTTGAAAAAGCAGGCAAAGGCTGCATATTAGAGTGAAAGAACAAGGCAAGTACTGAAAAACAAAAAGCTATTCAGTATTTTTTTCTCCCCTAAAAGAAAAGGAATGAAAACTGTCATCAGACTGAATTGTTCTATCCCTGATTGCTGTGTGTAGCATGATGAAATAAAAAATGCATTTCCATTTTAGCTTTCGCAGGCAATATATGCTCTCAAACCTTTTGGTGAAGAACTGATTTTCAAAGCAGCACATTTCTGTAGGCTGTCAGTGATCCAGCAGAGCTCTCACGCTGCTTTGACTTTTTCAGCTCCCTAGTGTATCAGACCTTTACAATTCTTTCTAGGATCCCAGCAAACGTAATAATATAGGCAGACTTCTCCACAGATTGATTTTGGATTTACAAGGCTCCTGGCTGCTTGCTTGCATAGATGTAACCTACAGACAGAATCCACACATCAGTCTTGAAAAAAACACCTCATTTAGAAAAATGGATTTTACTCATTAGCCTCTCCACAACAGAGACTGGCAATCTATCATGTTTGGCCATAAACATTTATTCAGGAAGGAACTGGTCTTAAGTAAGTCAGTTTAAATAAGAACAGCAAAACCATCTCCAGTAGTACCATCTAGTGACTCCTAGTCACGTATGAGCCTAAAATGTTGCAAATATGAGTCAGGTTAAAAAAGACATGAGAAAAACAGTGTGAGCAAGCAAATGCAAGACTATTGAGTTAGTGTATCTTGCTGCCTGTAGGATGGAGAAGAACAATAAAGAGGAACTCATAGCTAAGCAATTACTAAACTCAGGGACTAACTCAGGATTCTCGTTAAACCACAGCCATTTACCAACACTACCCTGCGCATTCTTACATCTGGTTTTGGCATAGTCCTCGTGCACTGTCCAGGTACTGATACAGGTACCAAGTTGTAAGATGAGTGCAGAGCTGAGCATCTTTTGTTCGCTGTAGTCTGACCAGCACTGAGCCATCCCTTCCCTGCCTGGTGAGCTGTGATAGCAGTGTGCGCCCTCCTGAGATTACAGAAGAATCCATGAGAGCAACCACTGCATTTTTTGTATTTTCTAAGCCATTGGCAATATTTTGTAGAATTTGAATTTTTATTTCAAAGAGGTAAACTTTTTTCCTTTCCATGTTTGTTTGTCCTTTTTCTGCAGTTGAACCCTTAAACAACAGCCTGTAGCAACTTGTATCAAGAGTAACAAGAAGGAAAGGTAGGTTACACTGGACACTGTACTCATTTAGGGAAACAAACAGTTTGCTTATAAATTCTTGCAAAGCAATTAATTTTGCTGCTGGCATGCATCATTAGGTTCAGTTTCATTTCACTGACTGCAGTGCCATTCCTACTCGGTAACGAGCATCTGAGTGATGCATCACAGGATCTTTGTATCAGGCAATGTTGACAAATAAATGAATGTGCTGATTTCTGCAGCATTTAAGCCTTTCATTCAACCCTCTAATCTGGAGACAGGTGATTTCTTAAAATGGGTTTACATGCTAGATAATATGAACGAGCACTTAAGTGATGGCAGAGAAAAGATCTCTATAGACTCAGAAATTAATCTAAAAAATGAATAAGGTGAGAATATTTTTCCCACTTCAAAAATATTTCCAATTAGTTTAATAGGATTTGATGTGATGTTTTACAGGTTGATGAACAAGTAGATGAATAGTTTGGGCACCATGTGTTAAATCCTGTCCTGAACATTTTTGTTTGCATTAAGCAGCTAACAGATTGTGCATCAGTCTCCTCATCACCAGCATCCATTCTCATACTCTTTCTTTTCTTCTTCTGGCAAAGTATTTTTTCACATGCATAATCCCATGAGCATCACTAATCCTGAGCTGTTTATATGTGGAAACTAAGCCCAGCCTGCAGTATTTTATCAGCCTGTGCTGAGACGATGAGATGATCCACTGTCTCCTGGGAAAGTAATACCATATACATTGTGCATGGGGACGAATTCCACTGCCCAAGGACTGGGAGAAGACAGTCTTTCTCTGTGAGCATGAGGCAGCCCTCAGGTTATGCATGCCGTGACCTTGGAGTCCAGGCTTAAGCACCTGCTCTGGCAACTAAATTCCAGAGATCAGTGAGCTATTCAGGTGGTCTGGTATAAAAGTCAAGCTCAGGTGGTTGGCTGAAGTCCATCTCAAATGTTTCAGCCTGTTTTCTGCTTGTAAGGTCCCTAGTGTGGCAGTTTGGGGCAGTGTTTGTTTCTCTCGCATTTCCAGACTGAGTCTTGGCTTTGAAGCTGTGGAACACAGGTACTCTGAATTACTCCTTGCCTTTTTCTCACACAGTAGGTGACCAGAAGTCAAAAGTCTCATGGGGACAGTCTCTTACTGCTTGTAACCTTTTCTCATAGTCACAGAGTTTGTGTAAGGTGGAGCAATGTGTGATGGATGCTCTTGTCTCATATTGATCAGATTATTCTTACAACAGAGTCTGGGCTTCCACTTTTCCCTACTGGGGAACAGCATCTCCTGGAGGGGCCAAAGAAAAGGGCCGATCAGACAGGTGAACAGAAAAAAATATAGATATCAAAATATGTATTTATAAAGCCATATGTGTGTGTGTACATGAGTAAAGGCAGTTGTTTCTTTTTCCCCAGTTTCCCTGCCTGGTGCTTGGCCCTCTGTGCAGTTCAGGTTGTTGGAGAAGTAATTGGCTTGTTTGGTGGGATCTTGTAGTGAAGGGCATTTGGGGTGTTTTAGTTAAGAGTTGAAAGCACTTTGGTGCCTCAGAGAACTCTTATGGATACTCTCACTTGCTGTACAGAATCAGATATGTGTGCAAATAAAACAGACAAGGATACAGTTGCTTTTATGATTGGTTCAGAACAGAATAGAGAGTTTCTTTGTCCTTGTACAGGACGGGTTTGTTGTTGTTCAAGCACTCTTGTGAGCAAATGAATGTGTTAAATTAGGTCCTGTAGAGACTTGTTGGCAATTTTAAAGACATGGCATAATGAAGCTTGCTTCCAACTCTGCAGGGATAGCTTCTTTTGTTAATCTACCAAATTAAATATTGGGTAGACTTGTTTTGTTAGCAAATGGGAGATGAGATGCCAAGAGTCGTGTTCTTTTACCCTCCTGCTCTCAGCTCTGTGATCAACCTCTCTCCCCAAAAGGGGAACCAGAATTCTTTTTCTGAGGGGTCATTTATAAACATGCTATGAGATGCAAGGCTGTTGCAGACCAAACACCTCCCTTGGAAAATACTGACATACATTAAAAACAAAACAAAACAAAACCAATAAACCAAGCCAGAAAAAAACCCCATCTGTTAATTTCTTAACAGGTTTCACATTTGTTGCAAGCATGCTGATTGAAAAAACCTACCCCAACAACATAATCTCATGTAGAAAGTATCAGTTCCCCAATTCAGAGAGAAGTCTTCTACAGCAGCTTTGAACACTTCGAAGTGGATTCCCCTCAGAAGCCACCTGAAAGGTCAGTGTTTACCTTAAAATTCAAATGAACTACAAAGAAAGGCAAGAGCAGAAGGCAAGTCATTCCGTCTACTCCGACAGCTGTCTTTGGATAGGTGAACCCCATTTTGGCAAGCCACCTCTTCTCTGATCAGAGAGGCGGCCAACATGGCTAGCTTAGATTAGATGCTGGACTCCTGAAAAGCTAAATTTATGTAATAGGAATCCCAACCTTAATATTTTAATCTTAAGACAAACTGAGTGGCTATGGGTCCACCAACACAGGCTATTGTCCCTTTTCCAAAAAAAACAAGCACTTTATGCCAGATAAATTTTAGAAGTGGTTGCCTCTCAGCTGAGATGTGGCACTGTAGTATTCCTGCTGCCAGAGCATTCCTGCTCTGCTGATACACAGAAAAATACCTCCTCAGCTGCACGCTGAGCAGTGAGAAGCCTCAGGCTGAGAACAACAGAATGCTCAAGTGATTTTGGCTAGTACATCTGAATAAAACAACCTTCGTAATATTAGAACAAGAAAACACTTTAGTGCTCTTAGAACAAACCACTTTACGCACAGTAGCAAAGTGATCCTCGCTAGAATGCAGTGGTATCTCAACAAGGGATCCATGCATAACCTTTCCAGCATTAATCACTGGAAACACCCACGCCACCAATGTGCATTTACCTGTACATTATGGAAATACTGGTCTCATCTATACATACAAAGTTAGGGGAAAGGCAACGGCACAGAGGCCTGGGTAGCTTGTGCATGCTGTATAGTGAAAGCTGGCAGTGTCTCCTTTTACAGCAGCTAAAATACTCTGCTCAAAAATAAAGACAATAAAAAACAGTTGAAAGCCACTTCTGGTACCAGTGTATTTACTGGTTCTCACTTTGAGACCCAAAAGTGCTTCTGCCTTTTAAAAATCTAAGTATACACAAAGCAGAAAATGTAATTAGTTAATTCTGTAATGAGACCCAGACACAGGAATCCATGAGGATTTTCTCCTCCATGTTCAACTCCACGTTTCACACCCAGAGAAGCTACACACTGGCTTTGGCTCCCAGCACCATCCCTGAATGCCTTCCGGCTTGGAGAGGAGAAAGCCTTCTCTGGTTACCTTCAAGCTTGTCCTTGGAGCACAGGAGGAGAGGGAAAGGACAAATCTGCATCAGCATCAGGAAATGACCAGTGTCTGAGCTCCTTGCTAGAAAGTGAGCTCACAGCACTAAAAGTGATGCTGGGGTTTCCATTTACCAAAATGTAAGTGCCTGCAAAACCATTTTGCTCTCTGGAGACAGCAGCAGAAGGTCCATTGCTATTCCTATGCTCCTTCAGGGGTGCTCTATAAAACAGAGAAGACAGCAGCAGTCAGAGTAAATATTAACAGTCCTGCTCACTGCTGCATGCTACTACTCCAGCTTTTAAAGCACAATGAAAATTGTCTGGCTCTGCTCATAGATGCAACAAAAGTCACAGATTTGATGGAGAGTGAAGAAAGAAAAAGTAGCAGTACCCAGATACAGATCCCTGCAGGCACAATGCTTGCTACAGATGTGACTCAAGTAGCTGCTCCCCTCCCTAGTTATTTCCAGAGCACATGAAGTTTTTTTCATGTGAAAATGCCACTGGTTTGTTTGATTTGTTGACAGCCAGTACAAACCAAGGTTATCCATATCTGGATGGACTTACTGATATGCCAGGCTTCACACTTGTAGCCCAGAGCCCAAATACCCTCATCTTCCTCTTGATTTGTCACAATATATCAGTGACAGGGAGGAGACAAACTGCTTTCAGAAAAGGAGTTGGGCTGAATCCAAAGGTGAATGCTGCTTTAATGTGAGAAATATTTCACACAGAGTCAGGAAGAAAATTATCCAAAAAGCCTGCAAAATTCCTGGGGCAGTAGTATCGGCTGCTGGAAGCACCTACATGTTTTGGAGTGACTCTCTGCCTTTTTCACAGCAGGAAGGAAGGAAAACATATTACTTCTTTACCACAGGAGGATCCTGCCCCAATACCAACATCTTCACAGAGAAATGGTCCTCGCTTGATTTTCATCTTTGTGTATGGTACAGCGTGTTCACAGAGGAAAAGAATACAGCCTTAAGGCATAAGAACATCAGCATACTGAGGCACTGTGTAAGAGCACTCAATGTGAGGTTATGCCATTACTTACAAAAGGCTGTCCTGGCTGCCAGAGCTTGCCAGGTAGCCAGGGCAATGGGGAATGAAGCTGGGATAAATGTAAGCTTCAGCAATGCAAATAAAGGCAAGAAACTCTAGGCTCTTTGCTCAAAGCTATTCCCCCTCCTTCAGTATTGATGTCTTCTGCCACATCACCATGCAACACTGAGGAAGGGAAGCTGGTGGAGGTGATTTCCTTACACTTCTGGAACCTTTCTAGCCTGAACAAAAGACTTATTACTTCTGACATCGGATTCCTGTGTCCGATGAACCCCTGACTTTTCTAACTTGAATAAGTAGTTTAATTCATAGCAGAGCTGATTTCAGTTGGTGGTGTTACAGTGTTGTCAACATGGAGTCATTCAGCACAGGATAGGAAGGTGACCAGGGAAACCAGAAATTAGTAGTGCTTTCATATGGCTTTCATAGAAGAGTGTGAACAAAGAGAGCCATAACTGAAGAGGTAATACTGCAGTGTCTGTATGGAAAGGATTCTTGCGTCCATTTACTCTCTAGTTCATTATATTTGCTTTCCATCACCACCCCCCTTTGCTGTAAGATAGTAACTTTTCATAAGCCTCTTCATTTATATTCCATGTCTATTTCATTCACTCAGACAACTTGCAGTGACTTGGATAACATTTACACAAAGAAAACAACCTGAATAAGATCAAACATTCTTTTCTTTCACAGACACTTAAAAGCAAGCCAACAAAAAATATGAGAAATACATGGTTAGTTTCATCATATGGTCTTTATTTTGATGGGCTACTAAATGACAGGGATCATAAAAGGAGACATTATATAAATCCCGTGTGAACATATGGCATTTTTTTTTCCCCTTCTGAGATTGCAGGCTGAATCTATGCAATCGGGTTAACAAAATGAGCCTTGTCGTTTGAGGAGCAGTGCTTAATGACAGTTGTCAGTTATCACTAGGTACCATACTCCAGGGACATCTTGATACGTCTGTGACAGACAGATTAGATATTGTCTGGAGAGGGTTACGTGGCAGCTGTAAGAAAGCTCTAGCTGAGAGGAAATGAGGATTAAAAAAACAGAGCAAAGAAATCAGATACAGCTTTTTCATGCCCTGGTCTCTGGCACAGATGATCCTTCTGCTCAGGTATGAGCCATGTGTGTCTGAAGCTAATGGCTGAATGGGAGATGGCTGCTGCCGTGGTTTAACTTCAGTCACCCAGAATCACAGCTTTGTTGTGCACGACCTGAACAGATGGAAACCCTTTCTTCCCCCCAAATAGTTTGCAATTTAATAGGCTTACCTTTCTATTCTTTATACTCTTTTACACAAATGTAATCAGCACAGCTATGCCCGAGGTAGAAAGAGACTGAAATCATTTGGCACCTGTGACTTCCGTCACCAGCAGCGGGAGTTAGAGGAGGGATGCTGCTGCCTTATCCTTGTGCCCGGTCGGGACTTGTTCAGTGCTGGCAGAGGCCAGGGGCTGGTGCAGGACCCTGCTCCCACCACCAGGCTCCTGCTGCTAGAGACCCTGCAGGCAGCTCTGTGGCTCCTGGTGCAGGTGTGCCTGCAGGGAGTGCCTCCCAAACAGCACTTTGCCTCACTCATCCTTGTAAATTGGCCATGTGGAAACCAAAAAGATGCAGGGGTCAGCTCAGGAGTGTACACACACACTGCTCTCACAAAGATGTGCTGTATATCCATGCATGACCAGAGACTGAGCCTGTCAACCAGAGAAAAGGCTTTTAATGCGTTTCTAGTAATAGCCACAAGGTCATTCAATGTGGGTACAGGCAGCAGGGGATGGGACTTGGAGCCTCTGCTGCAGAAATCCTTCATCTTTTTTCAGCCAAGGGTCAAACAAGACTGCAGAAAGAGAAAGACAAATGGGACACAAGCCCCAGAAGACCTGAAGCAGGAGGTCAGCAGAGGCTTGCTGAGGCAGCAGGTTGTGGTTTAAATCCAGCCAGACAGCTTTTCCCTCACTCCCCCCCTTCTTGCCCTCCCCCTACTCCCAGAGGGACGGAGAGGAGAATCGAAAAGAATGCAACTCCCATGGGTTGAGATAAGAACAGTTTAGTAACTAAGGCATAACACAAATCACTACTGCTACCACCAGTAATAACAATGATAAAGGAAATAACAAGGGAAGAGAATACAACACCTCAGCACCAGCTGACCAATAACTTGGCCCCCGAAGCCTGACCAAGCACCGACCGATACCTCCTCCAACCCCACAGTCCTCTAGCCCTTCCCAGTAATTCCCAGTTACATCCCGGGCATGACGTGCTGTGGTATGGAATAGCTCTTTGGTCAGTTTGGGTCAGGTGTCCTGTCTCTTCTTCCTTCCAGCTTCCCCTCCTCCCTGGCAGAGCATGAGGCTCACAAAGTCCTTGGCCAAACCAAAACATCATTGTTATCAGCTCTGTTCCCAGGCCGAAAGTCAAAACACAGCACTGCACCAGCTACCAAGAAGGAGAAAAATGACTGCTGCTGCTAAACCCAGGACAAGCACACATAACACTGCTCACATAAGCCTGAGCAGTTGAAACTGCAGTGCTATGGTGCCCATAAAACTGCCCCCCACTCCCTCACTGGGATGGTGATGATGATGAATGTCACTGCGTCCATTCTGCAGGATGCCTAGCGTCAGGAACACCACCTGCTCCCTGCTCCAGGATATTGCTGGTACCTCCTTAGCAAACAGGAGACCACCAGAGGCTGCAGCCAGCATCTCCCACAGCAAATGGTCCCCATGTACCAGCCCTCTGCTTACAACAGCATTTTTGTCCTGTGAAGTCTAGACACTCCAGGACGATTCACAAGGTGCAACACTCCCAGCTTAATGCCTTCAGTCTTGACCTACACGTCCAGAAAAGCAGATATGAACAGACACACTTCAGAAAACTGAAAATCATGTAAAAATAAAGTAAATAAGTGACCTAGAACTGTAGAGGAAGCAAGAGAAAATGTAAGGTTTAAAGTTAATTAGCCCTTGAACCATCAGGCCCAATTACTGCCGGCAGGCTCTGACATTTCAAAGATTAATTATGTAGTCAGCTGTCATGTCTCGCAAAGGACCACCATCATGCCAGCGAAGAGCTACCTGCTCTCTGCACACCAAGTCATGAAATTCTGCAATGTCAAATTATATCCAAAAGCTAATTGAGGACCTTTGGTAAAAGCTTTCCAATTACTATATTCATTTTGAGGAATGCAGTGTATTTATAGGCTGAAATACAACTGGCTGCTTTGAGGAAAAGCTTTAACTCACTGGATGATGATTTTAAATACTTGTAGGTGCTGCACAAAACGCTTCTATATTCCTCTGCTTCTTTTGCAATACTCTTGTTGCATCAGTATAGATGTCAATGTATATGTCAATGTATATGTCAATGATTCAGTACGTTTGCTCCTGAGCAGATGCATGCATATTACTATGTACCTGTCCCTGAAATTAGCCTCCCAAACTATCTTTGAGCAACAGAAATGCAGCTTCCCAAAATCGAGTCAGCAGTGTGCCCCTGCAGCAGCAAAAGCAAGCCCTTTCCTGGGTTGGAACAGTGAGGGCATAGCTGGCAGAGCAGGGAATGGGTTCTTGCACTCTTCTACACAGTTCATGGGCCTCATCCAGTTTTGGTGTCTCCAGATCAAAAGATTGGAAATGGGAGAGCGTTCCGTGGATGCTTATCATGATGTTTAACAAGTTGGGAAATTCAGTATAAGGCCCTTCTTCAAAGGTGAAGTCACACCAGGTAATTTCCAGCAGCTCCTTCCAACCTGATCTTTCTAGGATGATATGATTTGCAACCCTTTGTTCTTTCCCAGGATAGACCAGCTCCCTGCAGAGATAGAGGGAGAAGTGATGCACTGAGATTTCTGCTCCTTGGTGCAGCTCTTTCTGCAGCAATGAACAAGAATTGCACCTGTGAGTCTGTCCGTATACTGCCACGA